ATCCACCAGGGAACGGGCCTCCACAAAAGGAGCCCAGCACAAACAACAAGTGCTACTTTGGGCTGAGTAGGCAATTGAGAAGTAAAGTCCTCTGTCGTCGTACAAAGATCACAGTGTATAAGTCCTTCATCATGCCTGTGCTGGTGTATGGCGCGGAGGCATGGAGAATGAAAGCATCTGATGAGGCGGCCCTTGGAGTTTTCGAGAGAAAGATTCTGCGAAATATTTACGGACCTTTAGGCGTTGGTGATGGCGAATATCGCAGACGATTTAACGATGAACTGTATGAGCTTTACAACGATATAGACATAGTGCTGCGAATTAAAATTCAACGGCTCCGCTGGCTTGGGCATGTCGCTCGAATGGACAGAAGCGCTCCTGCTCTGAAAGTATTTAACGCGGGCCGCGATGTTGGTAATAGAGGAAGAGGAAGGCCTCATCTGCGTTGGAAAGACCAGGTGGAGAAGGACTTGGCTTCACCTGGCATTTCCCCGATACCACCTTGTATAAATTCGCCTTGGTGCAGCAAAAAGCAAAATTAGATTCGCTTTATCCTAAATAGGCGCAATTGCGCCAACACTCTGTTTTGATACCGGCAGTAACGCTGTAGTTAGTGTGTCGGCGTAAACAAATTTGCACCGTTACCCAGGCCTACTAGAGTCGGTGTTATGCAGAAATTTTTTTTTTGGCAAACTGTGTGCAATTGTTGTTGCAGCGAACTCGGAGAGACCGAGTTTGGCGACTCTCAAAGCAAACTAATTTACAGCGCGTTTACATTAGACAATGCTGTTAATACAAAAAAAAATCCGTATTAGTTGTCAAAAACGCTGATAATTTTCTATATATTTATTATCCGATCAGTTCGTAATTTATTCAATTGTATGTTACCAGGCTGGTCTGATCTAAGTATTTTGTGCAAATAAAACTACGTTATTTCACTTTCTGGCCCAACGTTTCGCTAAAACATTTTTAGCTTCTTCAGGGGCAATTCCGTTTAATTAAATCTGTCACGAACCATAAAATACAAAAACACATTATAACCAAAGATAATAAATGGAAACATAAAAACATGTACATATATGGAATTAAAATGACAAGAAAAACTACAGATTGAGCTTGAGGACAACCAATTTGACTCACACTATTTTAACATTAATACATACGAATTATTGAACACTAAATACTAATAATCTATACCATCTTTTGTGGTAGCTTTGTCAATACTAAAAGTTAGTTTATAATCATAAACATGAAATGTATGCGGCCGCAATGTTGTCTGTATCTTCCTTTCTGTTCATGGTCTTTTCTCTCCTTTGCATTATTCTGAGGCTCTCCAATGTATATCGGGTTGACTCTCTTTTTTCTTTGTCAATAACTTTTGCATTTGCGAAATCAGCTGTGTGTCCACTTGTTGTTATATGTTGTGCTAATGCTGTACTGCTTTTTTGTTTTCTGATGTCAGCTTCATGTTCGCCTAATCGAACACCTAAAGGCCGCTTAGTTGTCCCAATATACACTTTCCCGCATTCTTCATTTTCCTTTCCTTTGCATTTAATTTCATACACTACATCGCTTTGTTGGTGGACATCTACTGGGCACTTTGTTTTTGTGTATATTGTCGAAAGGGTGTAATTGGATTTGTAGGCAAGTGCTGTGTTTTGTGGTTTGGTTATGCTGTGATCAAAGTTGTCGGTTAGGTTGGGAATATACGTTACACTGTAAAATTTCTTGGTGGTTTTTGTTGTGTCTATGTTCGGTGTTGTATTTGGATGAATGTTATTTTTCATAATTTGTTGATTTATTAGTTCTCGTATTAATTTAGCAGGATAATTATTACATATTAAGATTTTGTTTATTTTCTCTATGTTAGCGTCATGGAATCTTGTGTGGCTTATCGTCAATATTTTGTGGATGAGGTTTTTTGCTGTGTTAATCTTATATTTAGTTGGTTGCGATGAATAATAATTTATTAAGCGTCCAGAAGAAGTTGGCTTAGAGTACCAGTCAAGTAAAAGATGTTGGTTTTCCCTATGAATGCAAACGTCAAGGAAGGGGATTTTTGAATTTTTCTCTGTTTCCATCGTAAATTGAAGTTTGTTGTGATACTTGTTTAGAGTCCCTAGAATAATATTCGCGTCATTACGTTTAACTATAGCGAAGATGACGTCCACATATTTGGTAATAAATTTGATGTCAATATTGAATTTTTCCTTGAGCTCCGAGATGGCATTGCCCAGTAGGTTGTCCATAATTATGTCGGCTATTGTTGGGGAAATAGGATTACCCATAGGCATTCCAAACGTTTGCGAATATAATTTTTTGTTGAACATGAAATAGTTATTGTCATTTAGGCAAAAACTTAACATTTCTTGGAACTTATTTTTCGGAATATTGGTTTTATGTTGAATTTGGTCCCATTTATTCATTACGATTTTTGAGGCTAACATTGTTGGTAAATTTGTGAACAAGGAGACGACATCGAACGACACTAATACATCTTCATCACACACACATATATTGGCTAGCTTATCTTTTAGGTTGAATGCATTATTCACGTTGTATTTTTCCGAAATTAATACTTTCAAAATATCTCCGATGTATTTTGACATTTTATAACAGGGGACCATAAAAGAGGAAACAATAGGACGAAGAGGAACATCTAGCTTATGAATTTTTGGCAATAAATTATGATAATTTTCTCCGTGGCGTTGGCGTCCTGACAATAGTTAAGACAATTCATTTCGAGCAAAATGTCGAACGTGAACGTTGAATTATAAGTTGCAGAAATACGCATTTCGCGCGAGCTATTTAAGCTAAAAACTAAAAAATAATAAAGAAGAGACAAAGTTACATACACATCAGCGCCTCTTGTGTTATTTTAGTTCTTTTTTATGAATTTCTCTTCTTTCTTGCACAAGACGCCAAAATTATTGTCTGCATACGTCAAGTCATTGCCCGATTTACTGTCTTAAAAATAATCAAGACAGTGATTGAGACAATTGGAAAAGTATGCATGTATTAGTGAAAAAGTGTGCATGTATTGCTATTGTTATGACAGTATTGTCCGGTGTCAACCCTAAGTTAGTCGCGCCA